ATTGTAATTGGAACAATAGGCATACCTCCCTCTTTGGCCGAGCACTGGTTATCAATAACGTTGCTTTTGCAGCCTTATGGTATAAATCGGTTCTTTGGCTGTTGAGTAAGGGAGCATTGAGACAACTTAGGAGAAAGGCAGCGACTTTTCTATGGACGGGGGGTAGTGAGAATGGCAATGTCATCAACAGGGTAGTATGAGTGTTAATTATCCAACCTAAAGCTCAGGGGGGTCCGGGGATCATAGACCCCGCCACACAAACTCAGGCATTGCGTCTGCATTGGGTTAAAAGACTGATTTTCACACCCCACAGCCCGTGGTGCATATTGGCCCTAGAGCAACTAGCTCGTCTGACTCCATCCACCCCGCAAGTTGTGCATCCATTGACCCGGCTAGAGGACCGCTAGTGGACAATCCCGCGCAAATGCTCAAGGAAGGGGGGCGGATGGGAAGGGGGGCGGATGGGAAGGGGGGGACCAGCCAAGAGAAAAATTTTGGCCATCTTTGTTGGCAGTATGGAGAAGGCTTCCACTCCCTGACAACCCCCCCCCGGACCGTTGGGAGGAGATCTATCGGCAGCCTCTGTTCAGAGACCAATGGCTGACATATCAAAGGGGTTGTACCAGATCGAGCTCATATCTGCCATGGAAAAGTTGGGTTAATTATGGAGTGCTCAGAATAGGGGATCTTTGGGACCAAGGCAAACGAGACTGAAAAATGGCCAACCAACTATGGGAAACTCTACATCATTGTCACCATGTGGAGAAACATTTGGAGGATCTAATTAAGAGTGTTCCACCAGCATGGTACCGTATTCTCAAACAAGGACCTTCCCTCAAAGAAGGGGACTGGATAGCGACCAAGAAGGTACCGACATGCATTGGCCAAATTCATATGATAGATCCCCAAATGGTTCTGGTGGAGTACTATGAGAGTACGCGAATGGGGATCCTTGAAGGAAGTAGAGCCCCTTTTGAATGGACAAAGACGGCTTGGGTTTACCGGATCCGGGTCATGGTAGAGAGAGGAGTGAAGGTAGCTTACCAACCAGAGTGGGCTGTTCATGAGTTAGCCTTGGACCCGGTGGAATGGACTTGGTCGCTTCCCCAGAGAAAGAAGGGGGGTGCAGCAGGTCAGATAACCCTCTACCGGTTGTCGGTCAAATCCGCCAACACGATGCTTAGGCCCAAGCGCTGCCTAAGGGATGTGGTTATCGATCGCTGGGCCAACCAGCTTAATGGGGACCGTTCTCTCCTGAAGCCTATTCGTTGGTTCCAAGACCAGAAATCTAACCCTGCGAAAATATTGTCCCTACAGTGGCAGAAAGCGCACCGCTGCCTGCCCACAAATGATTGGCTAATAGACCGCACCAACATGGAACAGGGAGGCCTGGCGCTGCCATGCTGTCAGCAATGTCTGCACATGTTCCCTGCCCGCAAGAGGGCGGAGACTATTGAGCATATTTTTATGCGATGCCCAATAGCTCGGTTTATGTGGAGGTGGTGGGACCGGATTTGGTGGAAGATGGTGACAGAGTTTCCCTGACCATGGTCATGGCGGGCTATTTTGGTGGGCCATTGGCCATTGGCAGGAGAACGTTCGGCTTTTGTTGAAGACATGTTCTGGTTGGCCAGGAGGACGGTGATGTGGGCTCTCTGCAGACAGAGGTGTGTTTTGGCCCTGGTTTGATGACAGTCTCAAATATGCCGCTACGAAAGGCAAGGTTACAGAAGGAGGTCCCGCTGGTGCCCCCCAGTGGCTCCCTCTGCTCCCTCTGTACAGTACATAGTCAGAGGTGTGGGACGCTGGACCCGATTTTCCAGCAGGTGGATGTTGTCAGTATCATCATTATCGTCACCATTACCATTATCACCATCTACATCATGAGGGACTGTGACGCCCAACCTCACGCCTAGAGCGACTTCCTGATCAGAGTGGGATGTGGGCCTCGAAGTGCGAAAAGGGGTGTGCCAAGGATTTTTTGGGAAAGTGGGGGTGGAGTCCCAGGTCGGAACTGAGATCTCCTGTGGCAAAGTTTCAGGGGCATAGATGCAATAGGGCTAAGGGGGCGAGTTACTTCCAGTCAGATGTTGTTCGATGTCGTGTAGCATAAGGCACATGGCATGCGCGGTGCATTCAAGGTCGTCCGGTTCGTCTGTTTTGGTGGCGGCGATTTGGGGATAGGCCCACCCGGGATAGTCGCGTTCCCGATGAGTCAGACCTTTGGGTGCAGACACGTGGCGTCTGTCGTCGCGTGTTTTGGTTAGGCCCCCTAGTTTCAGGGGCTCGTCGATTGCCGCGTCGCCGACAATTCCCGCAAGGCATGCGGGGCCAGTATGAGGCGATGGAGTTCCACGGAACCACCATGAGTTGGTGATACGGGAGGAGGAGACAGAAGGGAGGGAAATTAGTAGTGATAACGACGAAACCGGGGGATATGAAGTAGTGCGAGTTATCCGTAGTTGGATAATCGGGGCACCTCGGATCGCTGGTTACGGCACAGTGAAACTCCCTGGGGCACAATCGATTCTCAGTTAAGCAGGCGAATTCCGGATATCTTTGCCTAATGCATTCCCTCACCCAAGGGTCAAAGTACTCCGAGTCCCAAGAGCTCAACATCTTATCATTGCGGTGTGCTAGAATTCTTCCACACGCGTCTAATCGGCAACGGGATGTTCCGTCGTGATATCGGAATTCGTTTGCGTTTAGGTGCGAGGGGGAAGGACAATCCCCGTTTGCCTGAAGGCGTCAAGTTCATCGATGGTCCCGAATCGGCGCGCGTGGATACGTGTAGGCTGCGCATATCAGATCGCGCTTACACGCACCCCCGCGAGGTATTCGCTTGTTTTTGGACAAACAACTACCCAATCATTTAATCACTCCGTGATCCCACGCGCAATCATTTATGCGCATACAAGGTGCTACTGCACATCTGACAACAGTAGATCAAAGAAAACAAACAGCAATAATGACGACTACGTGGAAGTTCCTACTATGCTCACAAGGCTATTAAAATGGCAAGCGAAGGCACAAACAGACAAAGGAAAAGCAAACAGACATAACATTCATTCATCCATTCATTCGACATAACACGCGATAAACGAGATCGAGACCAATTGCAAAAACGAGTGTGGGCGGAAACCAAGCCAAGATTCGAAAACAAAAGAGAACGGGCGAATCGCCCTGAGCCGAGATCAAAATTTATATACAAAAGCAAGGAGGGAGACAAGACAAGGAAAATTGCAAACCACGTCCATCAACCTCAGCTCCCTCTTTTTCTTTCTTTCTCTTCCATGCGGACAGTCCGTCGTCACGCACCAACCCACGAAGTCGTCACCCCGCTTAGTCCTCCCGCACCGGTCAGGTTCGCCCGCACCCACAGTCCGTTGTGGCCTTCGTCAACCCCGCCCGTTCGGCACCAGCTCGTCGGGTCGCCCAACTCCCACTTCAACTCACCTCTTACTTCGCTCGCCGACCCTCACTGATCGCGCTCCCCGAGCTTCCAACAACTGGTTAAGAGAGTTATCTAATCGTGCAACCGGAATTTATAGTATGCATGCATGCGCGAAGAACACGGAATTGCAAAGACTTAGAAAGGAGATTAAGAGAGGGAGCACCTACATTCTGCATGGCCAGATCGCGGCGTGGGGGACGTAGCCACTCTCCACACATCGATCCGAGCATGCAGGCCGCGGGTGACTAGGCACAGCAAAAGGGAAAAAGGAGAGCGGGAAAGACGAAGCTCAAGAAGAAATATGCAGTTACAATGGCGCCCGCCCAAAATTACAGTTACTTGCAAGATTAAGGGCGCCCACTAATCAGAGCTCCGCTGCAGCCGCAAAAAAGAAGCGTGCAAGAAGGACGACGCGCGGCAAAAGAAATCCCGAATTCCTAAATTCCTAGCTAATGCAAAAAGAAGCACAAATTCCGAAAAGAAAATCCGAAGTTCCGAGAGTCGTCAATGGCTCGACAAGATTCGAAAAAGAAATTCAAAAAGAATGAAACAAAATTCCCGCGCGACCTCCGCACCTAAATCCGACAACAGCATAAAAAATAAGCGACGTCAACCATTATTAATCGCGCCTGGTCGGCACGACAGCCACTCAATCGATCATCCCGGGGCTTGCCCGGGCCTGAATCCAGCCATCCGAAAAGAAGCGGCGAAAGAGAAAAGACAAAAAAACGAGGACACTGATGCAATGCTCCCTCAATCACGATCTCCCATAGTTGGCCCAACCTTCCCAACTTAGGACCCCTCATTGTTATTGCGCAGAAAATTGCGCGGAACAGAAATCGGTTCGTCACATACGTGACACCCAGGGGGTTCCAATCTTAAGCAAGTTCCTACTTGCTTGAATCATGACACGTGTCGATTTCTCTAATCGATCGACACGCGGAGCTTTCTGTTGCCACTTACCGTACGAAAAGAGTGTGGACGTCATCCAGTGTGGCATACGTGGCTCTATTCTACGAATTCCTCAGGAAGGGTTCTTTTCACTCCAAGGAGGGGATCTTTCGTGCCATCGCCGTGGCACATACTAATCAACCATGCATCAATGTCCTAAGGGAAGGGGAAAGGGAAGATGATACATGGGGGCATGGCGAGGGGGTGTGTTAGTCGGGAGTGGGAGTTAGAAAGCGTTCCAACCCCGCGACTGTCTCCGGAAGCTCCTGATATCAGTCGATCCGGTGGAAGCAAGGGAATCGATTACCACTATGAGGGAGGGAGGCGAGATAGTCAGGGTAGAGGGTGGCGAAGGTTCGGAAGAGTGCCGCGCGGAATCGATCGTGGTTCTCGCATGCAGCAATAGTCCCCGTGATCATGCAATAAACCTCGACGATATTGTGGCCTCGCCGCGCGCCACTGAAGAGGAGGGCATGAAGACAGAAGTCGGGGAGGGCACACCGGGTCGAGGGGTGGGGGTGAACAGTGACAACAAGGCGGGTGGCATAGAAAAATCGGAAGGTATTAATCGGGAAGGGATTACGGGGGAGGGTGACGCGGGTGGTGATCTTGTGGAGGGTGAAGTGATCAAGGGGACGACGGGATAAGGACCGGGGACGAAGCCCGATGGCCCACATCGGTACGGGCTCCAACTGGTGGACGATCGGAGGTGGAGGGGGAGGGGGATCGGCTTCGTCGCCGCCTGGCCGGTGCGCTCGAAGTCTCGACACCTGGGTCCCCATCTTCTGGCTTGGGCGGCTCCGGATCTTTGGCTGGATCGTCGGCGATCGGCAGATTTGCTCCGCTTGCGAATTTCAGTTGTCGCTTTCCGGCCGCAATCTCTTCTCGTTTACGTGCCGCCTCGGGGTCCTCCGCCTGAACGTCCGTATGTTCTGCCTGTTCTGCCGAGATCTCCCACTCGGATTCTTCCAGCTCCAGGTCCTCTTCTTCCTCTTTTTCTTCTTTTTCCTCGTCTTCCTCACTCTGATCCCCCTCGCTGTGTTCGCCGTAACTGCCTTCCTTCGGTGTTTCTTCTTCTTCGCCGTCCTCCTCATCGCCTTTTTCTTCTTCCTCTTCTTCTTCTATCGCTAGCTCCTCGTCTTCCGAGGCTGTTCGAGGATGGAAGAAGGCGATGTCGATTATCTTCCGCGGGTTCAGGTATCCCTGTTGCGATGGTGGGTTGTTTTTGCTTCGCGGCTCCTCGAGGCAAGCTGACCACTGGAGGTAAGCTGTTAGAGTTCGTGTAAGGACGCGTGGGACTGGGCTTTCGTCACCCTGAGAGACGATATCAAGAGGAAGATTGTCGACCAGCTGCGCGAGAGGGATCGTGAGTTCTTGCACGATTATCTGCCAATGGTCGGCCGCACTGATCCGAACAAAAATCCGAGGAGGTCTCCCTCCACTTCCGTCCTCTAAGCTTGTATGATGAGCAGCTCCAGGTACTCGATCCAAGCACGGTGTTCCTCGTCCCTTGTCCACGTGAGTCGCACCCCGACCAGGCACACTGAAAGATCGATGAAATGTTCGCGCCACAGCTCCCACTGCCTAGGATCAAGGAGGGGAACGGCGAGCGGCTCCAGACAGAAGGAGAAGCGAGGGTGAAGACAAGACTGCCAGAGGGTAGGGAAGAGAGATGGGAAGGCGAAGGTGGAGAGTTGGGAGAGGTTCATTGGGGGCGTTGAAAGGGGATGAGCTCCGGGAGCACCATCTCCGGCTCGTGATGGGACATTCGGATCCCACCGACCTCGATGCCGTCTGTGGGGACAAGATTGTCTCCGTGGCGAGAAAGCGAGTGACTCCACTCCGTCGCCAACTGCTGACCCCACTCCCTTAGTGACGTTCGGATCGCCGTATGTCGAAGCGGGCTGATCGCGCTGATATCGCCGCTGAAGGAGACGACGGTAGACACGTGGCTAACCCCCGGGGCTGACAGCCGATGAACAGCTACCGCTTCCGCCAACACAACCGCCTGACGATTGCTCGCGAAGAGGAACTCTGCTGCCGCGTATACCCCTGTGGTACGGAAGAACTGCGCAAGATGTAGAAGATCCAGACTGAAGCGCGGATGATGAACTTGTCAGATTGCCGAGATGTAACCACGTGGCGCCAGCAGGTGATCACTGAGTGCTCGCTCAGTGAGAAAACTCATGGCGATGGTGAGGAGGTATGAGAGTGGGTGGGAGATGTAGGAGGGGACGAAGGTGATAGAGAATCGTCGTATTTTTTTTGAAGCGAAGGAGGAAGAATACGCTGCTGGAGATGAGGAGGAAGGGAGGAGACGTAGATAGGACACGTGGCGTAAAATCAACCGAGTCGATCGGCTCCCTGAGACCTCTGGCACGAGGCGAACCGTGTTCACCCTGTTCGGGCCGAGCTCGATCACGTGAAATCGCCCAAAGAATCATGGCACTATCTTCCCTTGGCAAGCACATTTCCTCACCTGCACCAAGTCCCCTAATTTATACTAGGGCCGCGGACCCGCGTTCCCGTTCCGGGCCTTGTAACTGCGAACCTGTCGGTCGTGGGCCAACTCGGTTATTTTCTGGCGTTTTCGGGCTAATCGGGCCAGGGACCTTTCCATCAGTTCCATGTGTCGCTTGACCTTGTCCCGAACCGTGGCTCTCGTAGGCCGTCGATTCAACGAAGACTCATCCGGGAGGCTCGGTATCGAAACGCAGGCCACACTATTGGTCCGTAATTGGAACGGGCTTAGGCCCGTCGATTTGTGAGGCGTTCTGCGATGGACCGCCAAGATGTGATCTACTATATCGGGCCAGGGCCTCGGATCCTGTGCCTCGATATTTCGTCGTAGCGCAGTCTTTATCACTCGATTTGCGTTTTCTACCACTGCAAGCCATTAGCTTGCGACATGTGGGGCGCAGTGTTCTGAATCGCAACGCCGTGTACGACCAGATTCCTCAAGACATTTTCCCTGAATTGTAGTCTTATTCTACCCCATTATCAGTCAAAATTTCCTTTGTGTCTTGGTGCATCCCTAAAAACCGGTTGACGTAGCACACAATTTCGGCCGCCTGTCGCGTTCGGCACGGATACGCCTCGATCCATTTCGAAAAATAGTCCACGAACACCAGTAGGATTGAATACTCGCAGCTATTAGGTCCAGGGGGCACCACTATATCGGTAGTATCCATGCTAACCCTTTGAAACGGTCGTTCAACTACCATCGGTACTATCAATCTTGGCGGTTGAATCGGCGCCTTGTCAGCAGCGCAGACTTGACAGTTCGCGAGGATGAACTTCACATCGTCACGAATATTGGACCAATACCATTCGTTCTTATCGATTTTCGCTTCCGTGATCCGTACTGCAAAATGGGCTGCAATTTCCTCATGCGCCGTCTTAACCCAGTCATACCTCATGAACGGGTGAGGCACTACCATCCGTCTTCCGTTTTTCTAATCGGCCCTCGTTCCATCGATAATACCGAGTTCTTTCGTTGGCCCTCCTCCGATCCTCCTTAGTGAAGTCCTGGAGGGGGTTTCCTACCAAGGTGGCAATTAGAGCGATGTCCGTCCATACCTCGACCCTTCTAAACTTCCGGGTCTTTTCCAACCCTTCAGACGTGGCATCAAGAAATCGAGKTTCCGTCGGGATCTTATCAGTCCGACACAAGGGACACAAGCAAGGCTTATCGTCGTCTCTGTACTGGATGCACGAGCCATGGGCTTGTGCGACACACTGTCAACAATCTACTACCCATTCCGCATACCCTTCTCCACTAGGACGCATTGAGATCGAGTAGACACGCGAGATCGCTTCGCAAAAATAACAAAATTTGTCGGGCAGGGAGAGAAAAGATGAAGGGGAAAGGGGAGAGAGAAGAGTTGTAGGATTACCTCCATCACCCATTGCCAATCACCTGCTTCTTGCCACGTGGAAGGACTGCCACTTGTCCATACTTGGGTCTGTTTGCTGACTGTCGTTCCTTCCACGGAATGACTTCTTCCCCCTTTGGTACCTTAGCGGGGTGATGCAAACGTGTCAACCCGTCCACGTTGTCGTGCCTCTCTGTCTTTCGGTGGATGATGTCGAAGTCGTATCCGTGTAGGCGCACAGCCCATCGTCCAATCATACCCGTGTAATTGGTGAGCTTCTTCAGAGCCAATAATGGCTCGTAATCGGTTACAAGGAGGAACTTTTGTCCGTACAAGTACAGATGGAAGTGCTAAATTCCCCAGAATACAACATAGCATTCACCTTGTGGGGCTGAGTCGTTCCTTCATTCGTCTGGCACCGTACGAGACGCGTACTCGATAACGTGCTCTCGACCGTCACTCCCTTTCTGCGCTAAGATAGCGGAAATAGCCTCCGGCTGCCAGTCCGTGATGAGAATGAACTGCTTCGTAGGGTCCGGCTGGATCAAAATAGGTGTCGTCGCCAAAGCGCCCTTGAGGGTGGTGAAGGCATGTTCGCACTCTGCGTCCCAACTGAGGGGCTGGTCCTTTCGCAGCAGATTCGTCAGAGGTCGCGCAATCGCAACGAAGCCCGTGATAAAACGACGGTAATACGATGCCAGTCCCAGGAAAGCTCGAACCTGCGTCACTGACGTRGGGACAGGAGCATCTTTCACCGCCGCGACTTTCCTTGAATCTGGCTGCAGTCCTCCACGTGTCACCACGTAACCTAAGAACGAGATTTCTGAAAGGAAAAACTCGCTCTTCTCAAGCGCGATTTTGAACCCAGCGTCTCTCAGAGCTCCCAGCGTCCACTCGATGTGCTATGCATGCCCGTGATAGGTCTCCGAGTAGACGAGGATGTCATCCATGTACACGATGACGCAAAAGTTAATCATCCCCTGAGTGAGCCGCGTCTTGTTGACGAAGTTCTAAAACGTCATGTTCATCGCCCGCTGAAACGTGGCAGGCGTGTTGCAAATACCCATCAGACATCAGACTCACTGCCACGTGCCCTCAAACAATACAAAGGTCGTCTTCGGTCGATCTTCCTCCTTAACCAGAATGTGATGAAAACCGTGTCGAATATCAAACATACTGAAATAATTAGCACATTCAGTCGCATCCAGCAAATCATCAATCCGTGGAAGGGGATACACATCTTTAATCATGATGTCATTCAACTTGCGATAATCAATGCATATACGAATCGGTCCATTCTTTTTCGGTACCAACACTACCGAAAATGACCATGGCCCAGTGGCAGGTTCGATCCACCCCTTAGCTTCAAATTCTCGAATCCGCTCGAGGGCCGTTTTCCGTTCTACTAACGAATATCTGTAGGGCTTGCAGTGAATCGGGGAATGGTTTCCGGTCTGGATTTCGTGCTGTATGACCAAAGACAGTCTGATGTCGGTGTCTGTCACACTAATCGCTCCCTTGTACTCTTTTAGAATGTCCACGATCAGGTGGTGGATCTCATTAGGTACGTATCCGCGTGCGTGCAGCTCATACAACTCATCCCACATCCGTACGTCGACGTGTTTCGTACTCACSCGTTTAGCGCTTTCGGGTGGAGGCGCGGAAATAAACGAGTTGTCCGACCGCAGGAGAATACCGTGGTCATCATCTGTGCATCTTGTTCTCGAATGGCCACGTGTTCTTCCGGGGTTGTCCCGTCTCGAATGTCTTGCCACGGCACAGGTTTCGTTGCGATCCTGATTCCGAGTTCGGTTTCAACGCGCTTAGGGGGTTCAAAAAAATCGGTCTTTGCCCCTAAGCATATTAATCTTATCTCTTTTGCAGGCGTCAAAAGAGATCGGGGAAGATTCGTGATGTCGCAGTCATGCTTTTTGTCCTCATATCGTGCGAGCAGATGCAAGATTCCTTCGTACAGGGTTCGAGCGGGTTCCAAAGAATCGACCATCCTCGAAATCTGTACGAGAGTTTCTCCCATAATCATTGTCTGCGTTCTCTGTAGATCTGGGTTAGTCCGACTCAGGGTTTTTGCGTTTGTTCGCTGCGCGGGAAATGGATACGTTCCTGCGCCATTTCCAGGATTAATGGGTYATCATCATCACTGTTGTCTGCGTCTTTGGATATCTGCCCGTTGTCCGAGGTAATCATGCGAAGGGTCCCCATCATCATGGGAGAAACTCGCGGGGTTACATTAGCGGTAGTACGAAGGGTCAGCCTCATTGGTACGACATAGGGTTTCCCTCCCGTATTTCGAAGGACAATCGATCGTCTTTCGAAATCCAGATTGGCTCGTAAGGCCACAAGAGCGGGAAGGCCGAAAAGGACATCGTACGTGTTTACGTCTAAGACTATGACATCTCCCAAAGCATGTACCTTCCCTAATCGAAAAGCAACATTGGTCATCCGTCCCACCGTTTTSATCTTCTCCTCATCTGCTGACAYGAGGTGATCTTTTTCCGTAAGCATGATTAGATCGTTCTTTCTACCTGCTTTTTCAACTACCCGTAACRAGATAGCCAAAACAACAGTTCCTGAGTCGATAATGGCATTGTACAAGATTCCCTATATCTCAATGTCACATTCGGCGGATTTTCATGGGATTGGTTTAATCCGTAGGAAGTGATTATCTTTCTGGATTAATCCTAATCGTATGGGGTCTAAAGTTCCTGCTGCATTTTCATCTGGCGTGGGATTTTTCGTTTTTGTGTTCGCTGTTCGGGCAAGGGCAAATTGTTTTCGATTTGTCTTGTAGTGTTGCAACATTCGTTCGTTAGCTTGTTCTGATATCGAGAGTAGGTGACCGAGCAGAAGAGGAATCCGATGGTCTAAGGCTCGAACAATGTTTAGAACATCGATCTCCACCGTGACGAAAGTGGGTCCTCCCGACTCCATTTCTCCTGGAGATGGTCGCCATTCTGCCACTTCTCTTTGTTCTGGCATGGGTCTAATCGTTCCAATCATCCCAAGTCCTGGGTAGCCAAGCGTTACGTACTGATCCAACGGGATTAGTTCGGCAGCTTCTTCCGTTGTAGCCAATGTGCTTCYGCCTCCATCCATTTCTTCCATCAATGCCCCTACTCGTCCGGGTCCGTTGGCGATCGGGGCCGCTGCTACTGGTGCGGGTCCGACTCGTTGCTGTGGGAGTCAATGAGGGCAATCTCGGGCTATATGCCCTGGTTGGTGACATGTGTAACAGACGTTCAGATTGCCAGGGATCCCTGCAGGAGGGGGTGTCGGGGCCAATCCGTGTTGAATCGGGGCGGCACGCACCGCTATTGGACGCATCGACCTCATCATTGCTTTTATTCGAGCGTTGTGTTCCCACTGTTCCTTTTTGCTTTCTTGAATCAGAGTAACCAATGTCTTGGTCAGTTCTAATAGGGCGGAAGACTCGTTTGGTTGTGCGGGGGTTTCGATTGGTGGCGGAGATGTTGTCATCACGGGAACGGAAACGCTCGTAATCACACTCGGGACCCGTCGTTTGGGACCAATCTGTTCCAGATAGGTGACAAGGCCCAACACAAACCCCATGTTTTCAAATTTGTTCTGCAGGGCAGCTAACTCAGCTTTAGCTCTCGCTAGTTCGGACGAGTCTCCTTCCCAAGGATAGTCTTCTCCCTCTAGGAAACCCACAACGAACTTTCGTTCAATTTCTTCCGCGCCTGCCATGATCTGTTGCAGTGTGTGATTGATGGGGGAAAACTGCTTTCGCAGTTTCGCCCTCATCGTTCGGCTGCGAAGTCCATCAATGAACAAATCTCTGCACACTTGTTCGTCTCGTTCTGTTTTCACAAACATCCTATAAAATCGATTTCGATACTCGATAACAGATTCGAGGGGGTTTTGAACTCGATCTTTGATCATAAAGAGAGCCTGTTCTGGGTGGATGTAATTGAATCRGTTCAAAAACTCTCGCTCGAATATCGGGAGATCGACCCATATGTAGGTACTAAACCAGTGATGGGCATCTCCTCCYAATCGTGCAGGGATGTTCACTTGTGCCTCGTTATCATCGTACTGTTGAGCCCGGAGCGTGGCTAGCCATGGCCCAGCGAGGTGATGAGTAGGATCGAATAGATAAAGATCGGGTGGCGTCATGGGAGCCCGTGCTCGTGGTACGGCTTGATTAGGATTCTGCTGGGGGTTCRGGTTTTGTTGGGGTTTTTGTTGATTAGCATTCATATTGACCATCCGTCGAGCCGCGGACCGGCTTTTGGTGACGACGGGATCGCGTCGGTGCGCGTTCCGGGGTCGAGGTCGCCCCCTGTTAGCCAGATCGGCCAGATATGAGTCCGAGAACCCTGCCACATGTCGGGCTCCGATACCAACCTCACGCCCAGCGCGACTTCCTGATCAGAGTGGGATGTGGGCCTGGAAGTGCGAAAAGGGGTGTGCCAAGGATTTTTTGGGAAAGTGGGGGTGGAGTCCCAGGTCGGAACTGAGATCTCCTGTGGCAAAGTTTTAGGGGCATAGATGCAATAGGGCTAAGGGGGCGAGTTACTTCCAGTCAGATGTTGTTCGATGTCGTGTAGCATAAGGCAGATGGCATGCGCGGTGCATTCAAGGTCGTCCGGTTCGTCTGTTTTGGTGGCGGAGGTTCGGGGATAGGCCCGCCCGGGATAGTCGCGTTCCCAATGAGTCAGACCTTTGGGTGCAGACACGTGGCGTCTGTCGTCGCGCATTTTGGTTAGGCCCCCTAGTTTCAGGGACTCGTCGATTGCCATGTYGTCGACAATTCCCGCAAGGCGTGCGGGGCCAGTACTGGGCGATGGAGTTCCACGGAACCACCGTGAGTTGGTGATACGGGTGGAGGAGACGGAAGGGAGGGAAATTAGTAGCGAAACCGGGGGATATGAAGTAGTGCGAGTTATCCGTCGTTGGATAATCGGGGCACCTCGGATCGCTGGTTACAGCACAGTGAAACTCCCTGGGGCACAATCGATTCTCGGTTAAGTAGGGGAATTCTGGATATCTTTGCCTAATGCATTCCCTCACCCAAGGGTCAAAGTACTCCGAGTCCCAGGAGCTCGGCATCTTATCATTGCGGTGTGATATAATTCTTCCACACGCGTCTAATCGGCAAGGGGATGTTCCGTCGTCATATCAGAATTCTTTTCCGTTTAGGTGCGAAGGGGAAGGACAATCCCCGTCTGCCCGAAGGCGTCAAGTTCATTGCGTGCATGGATACGTGTAGGCTGCGCAGATCAGATCGCGCTTACACGCGCCCCCGCGAGGTGTTCGCTTGTTTCTAGACAAACAACTACCCAATCATTTAATCACTCTGATTTTCCGTCGTGATATCGGAATTCGTTTCCGTTTAGGTGTGAGGGGGAAGGACAATCCCCATCTGCCCGAAGGCGTCAAGTTCTTCAATGGTCGTGAATCGGTGGGCGTGGATACGTGTGGGCTGCGCAAATCAGATCGCGCTTACACGCACCCCCTCGCGGTATTCGCTTGTTTCTGGACAAACAACTACGCAATCATTTAATCACTCCGTTGTCGAGTGGATCGGCCCCCACGCGAGTGAGGACTCTCCCGGCCATGTCACGCAGAAGTTTAAACAAACAACTTAACCAATATAGAGACAAGTTGAGAACGACGCAGAAGTAATCCCGCGAGCCGCCGAGACGGTCGCGGTCGTGTCGTCCCTTCGTCGCTCTAACTGGGTGTGCCAGTTGTACATCTAGCGGTCCCCTACGACAAGACAGGTTCCCGCGGGGCATAAGCTTGCTTCCTCTGTGATCCCGCGCGCAATCATTCTTGCGCATACAAGGTGCTACTGCACATCAGACAACAGTAGATCAAAGAAAACAAACAGCAATAGTGGCGACTACGCGGAAGTTCCTACTATGCTCACAAGGGTATCAAAATGGCAAGCGAAGGCGCGGACAAACAAAGGAAAAGCAAACAGACATAACATTCATTCATCCATTCATTCGACATAACACGCGATAAACGAGATCGAGACCAATCGCAAAAACGAGTGTAGGCGGAAACCAAGCCAAGATTCCGAAAACAAAAGAGAACGGGCGAATCGCCCTGAGCTGAGATCAAAATTTATATACAAAAGCAAGGAGGGAGACAAGACAAGGAAAATTGCAAACCACGCCCATCAACCTCAGCTCCCTCTTCTTCTTTCTTCCTCTCCGATGCGGACAGTCCGTCGTCACGCACCAACCCACGAAGTCGTCACCCCGCTTAGTCCTCCCGCACCTGTCAGGTTCGCCCGCGCCCACAGTCCGTCATGGCCCGCGTCAACCCCGCGCGTTCGGCACCAGCTCGTCGGGTCGCCCGACTCCCACTTCAACTCACCTCTTACTTCGCTCGCAAGCCGACCCTCACTGATCGTGCTCCCCGAGCTTCCAACAACTGGTTAAGAGAGCTATCTAATCGTGCAGTCGGAATTTATAGCGTGCATGCATGCGCGAAGAACACGGAATTGCAAGGACTTAGAAAGGAGATTAGGAGAGGGAGCGCCTGCGTTCTGCACGGCCAGATCGCGGCGTGGGGGACGTAGCCACTCTCCACGCATCGAATCGAGCATGCAGGCCACGGGCTAACTAGGCACACCAAAAGGGAAAACGGAGAGCGAGAAAGACGAAGCTCAAGAAGAAATATACAGTTACAATGGCGCCCGCCCAAAATTACAGTTACTTGCAAGATTAAGGGCGCCCACTAATCAGAGTTCCGCTGCAGCCACAAAAAGAAGCGCGCAAGAAGGACGACGCGAGGCAAAAGAAATCTCGAATTCCTAAATTACTAAATTTCTAGCTAATGCAGAAAGAAGCACAAATTCCGAAAAGAAAATCCGAAGTTCCGAGAGTCGTCAAGGGCTCGACAAGATTCGAAAAAGAAATTCAAAAAGAACGAAACCAAATTCTCGTGCGACCTCCGCGCCTAAATCCGACAACAGCACAGAAAAGAAGCGACGTCAACCATTATTAATCGCGCCTGGTCGGCGCGACAGCCACTCAATCGATCATCCCGGGGCTTGCCCGGGCCTGRATCCAGYCATCCGAAAAGAAGYGGCGAAAGAGAAAAGACGAAAAAGCGAGGACACTGATGCAATTCTCCCTCAATCCCGATCTCCCGTAGTTGGCCCAACCTTCCCAACTTAGGACCCCTCCTTGTTATTGCTCGTGCGAAACAGGAATCGGTTCGTCACATATGTGACGCCCAGGGGGTTCCAATCTTAAGCAAGTTCCTGCTTGCTTGAATCATGACACGTGTCGATTTCTCTAAAAGATCGACACGCGGAGCTTTCTGTTGCCACTTACCGTACGAAAAGAGTGTGGACGTCATCCGAGTCCAGCGTGGCATACGTGGCTCTATTCTACGAATTCCTCAGGAAGGGCTCTTTTCACTCCAAGGAGGGGATCTTTCGTGTCATCGTCGTGGCACATACTAATCAACCATGCATCAATGTCCTAAGGGAAGGGGAAAGGGAAGACGATACATGGGGGCATGGCGAGGGGGTGGGTTAGTCGGGAGTGGGGGTAGAAAGCATTCCAACCCCACGACTGTCTCCGGAAGCTCCTGATATCAGACGATCCGGTGGAAGCGAGGGAATCAATTACCACTATGAGGGAGGGAGGCGAGATAGTCAGGGTAGAGGGTGGTGAAGGTTCGGAAGAGTGCCGCGCGGAATCGATCGTGGTTCTCGCATGCAGCGATAGTCCCCGTGATCATGCAATAAACCTCGACGATATTGTGGCCTCGCCACGCGCCACTGAAGAGGAGGGCATGAATACAGAAGTCGGGGAGGGCACACCGGGTCGAGGGGTGGGGGTGAACAGTGACAACAAGGCSGGTGGCGTAGAAAAATCGGAAGGTATCAATCGCAAAGGGATTACGGGGGAGGGTGACGCGGGTGGTGATCTTGTGGAGGGTGAAGTGATCAAGGGGACGACGGGATAAGGACCGGGGACGAAGCCGGATGGTCCRCATCTGTACGGGCTCGAACTGGTGGACGGTCGGAGGTGGAGGGGGAGGGGGATCGGCTTCGTCGCCGCCTGGCCGGTGCGCTCGAAGTCTCGGCAGCTGGGTCCCCATCTTCTGGCTTGGGCGGCTCTGGATCTTTGGCTGGATYGTCGGCAATCGGCAGATTTGCTCCGCTTGCGAAGTCCAGTTGTCGCTTTCCGGCCGCAATCTCTTCTCGTTTACATGCCGCCTCGAGGTCCTCCGCCTAAACGTCTGTATGTTCTGCCTCTTCTACCGAGATCTCCCACTCGGATTCTTCCAACTCCAGGTCCTCTTCTTCCTCTTTTTCTTCTTCTTCCTCGTCTTCCTCACTCTGCTCCCCCTCGCTGTGTTCGTTATAACTGCCTTCCTCCGGTGTTTCTTCTTCTTCGTCGTCCTCCTCAGCGCTTTCTTCTTCTTCCTCGTCTTCTTCTATCRCTAGCTGCTCGTCTTCGGAGGCTGTTCGAGGCTGGAAGAAGGCGATGTGGATTATCTCCCGCGGGTTTAGGTATCTCTGTTGCGATGGCGGGTTGTTGTTGCTTCGCGACTCCTCGAGGCAGGCTGACCACTGGAGGTAAGGTGTTAGAGTTCGTGTAAGGACGTGTGGGACTGGGCTTTCGTCACACTGAGAGACGATATCAAGAGGGAGATCGTCGACCAGCTGCGCCAGAGGGATCGTGAGTTCTTGCACGATTATCTACCGATGGCCAAGCCGCATTGATCCGAGCAAAAATCCGAGGAGGTCTCCCTCCACTTCCGTCCTCTAGGCTTGTATGATGAGCAGCTCCAGGTACTCGATCCAAGCACGGTGATCCTTGTCCCTTGTCCACGTGAGTCGCACCCCGTCCAGGCACACTGAAAGATCGATGAAATGTTCGCGCCATAGCTCCCACTGCCTAGGATCAAGGAGGGGAACGGCGAGCGGCTCCAGACAGAAGGAGAAGCGAGGGTAAAGACTAGACTGCCAGAAGGTATGGAAGAGAGATGGGAGGGCGAAGGTGGAGAGTTGGGAGCGGTTCATTGGGGGCGTTGAAAGGGGATGAGCTCCGGGAGCACCACCGCCGGCTCCTGATGGGACGTTCGGATCCCACCGACCTCGATGCCATCTGTGGGGACAAGATTGTCTCCGTGGCGAGAAAGCGAGTGATTCCACTCCGTCGCCAACTGCTCACCCCACTCCCTTAGTGACGTCTGGATCGCCGTATGTCGAAGCGGGCTGATCGCGCTGATATCGCCGCTGAAGGAGACGACGGTAGACACGTGGCTAACCCCCGGGGCTGACAGCCGATGAACAGTTACCGCTTCCACCAACACAACCGCCTGACGATTGCTCGCGAAGAGGAACTCTGCTGCCGCGTATACCCCTGTGGTACGGAAGAGTTGCGCAAGCCGTAGAAGATCCAGACTGAAGCGCGGATGATGAACTTGCCGGATTGCCGAGATGTAACCACGTGGCGCCAGCAAGTGATCACCGAGGGCTCGCTCAGTGAGAAAACTCATGGTGATGGTGAGGAGGTATGAGAGTGGGTGGGAGTTGTAGGAGGAGACGAAGGCGATAGAGAATCGTCATTTTTTTTTTGAAGCGAAGGAGGAAGAAGACGYTGTTGGAGATGGGGAGGAAGGGAGGGGGCGTAGATAGGACATGTGGCGTACAATCAGTCGAGCCGATCGGCTCCCTGAGACCTCTGGCACGAGGCGCACCATGTTCACCCCGTTCGGGCCGAGCTCGATCACGTGAAATCGCCCGAAGAATCGTGGCGCTATCTTCCCTTGGCGAGCACATTTCCTCACCTGCACCAAGTCCCCTAATTTATACTAGGGCCGCGGACCCACGTTCCCGTTCCGGGCYTCGTAACTGCGAACCTGTCGGCCGTGCGCCAACTCGGTCATTTTCTGGCATTTTCGGGCTAATCAGGGCAGGGACCTTTCCATCAGTTCCATGTGTCGCTTGGCCTTGTCCCGAACGGTGGCTCTCGTAGGCCGTCGGTTCAACGAAGACTCATTCGGGAGGCTCGGTATCGAAACGCAGGCCACACTATTGGTCCGTAATTGGAACGGGCTTAGGCCCGTCGATTCGTGAGGCGTTCTGCGATGGACCGCCAAGATGTGATCTACGATATCGGGCCAGGGCCTCGGATCCTCTGCCGCGATATTTCGTCGTAGCGCAGTCTTTATCACTCCATTTGCATTTTCTGCCAGACCGTTAGATTGTGACATGTGGGGCGCAGTGTTCCGAATCGCGACGTCRTGTACGACCAGATTCCTCAAGACTTCTCCTTCGAATTCTACCCCATTATGGTTCAAAATTTCCTTCGTGTCCTGGTGCATCCCTAAAAACCGGTTGACATAGCGTGCAATTTCGGCTGCCTGTCGCGTTCGGCACGGATACGCCTCGATCCATTTCGAAAAATAGTCCACGAACACCAGTAGGATTGAATACTCGCAGCTATTAGGTCCAGGGGGCACCACTATATCGGTAGTATCCATGCTAACCCTTTGAAACGGTCGTTCAACTACCATCGGTACTATCAATCTTGGCGGTTGAATCGGCGCCTTGTCAGCAGCGCAGACTTGACAGTTCGCGATGATGAACTTCACATCGTCACGAATATTGGACCAATACCATTCGTTCTTATCGATTTCCGCTTCCGTGATCCGTACTGCAAAATGGGCTGCAATTTCCTCATGCGCCGTCTTAACCCAGTCATACCTCATGAACGGGTGCGGCACTACCATCCAAATCCTGCTACCATCCGTCTTCCGTTTTTCTAATCGGCCCTCGTTCTATCGATAATCCCGAGCTCTTTCGTTGGCCCTCCTCCGATCCTCCTTAGTGAAGTCCTGGAGGGGTTTCCTACCAAGGTGGCAATTAGAGCGATATCCGTCCATACCTCGGCCCTTCTAAACTTCCGGGTCTTTTACAACCCTTCAAACGTGGCATCAAGAAATTGAGTTTCCGTTGGGATCTTATCAGTCCGACACAAGGGACACAACCAAGGCTTATCGCCGTCTCTGTACTGGATGCACGAGCCATGGGCTCGTGCGACACACTGTCGACAATCTACCCATTCCGCATACCCTTCTCCACTAGGACGCATTAAGATCGAGTAGACATGCGAGATCGCTTCGCAAAAATAACAAAATTTGTCGGGCAGGGAGAGAAAAGATGAAGGGGAGAGGGGAGACAGAAGAGTTGTAGGATTACGTCTGTCACCCATTGCCAATCACCTGCTTCTTGCCACGTGGAAGGACTGCCACTTGTCCGTACTTAGGTCCGTTTGCTGACTCTGGTTCCTTCCACGGAATGATTTTTTCCCCCTTTGGTACCTTAGCGGGGCGATGCAAACATGTCAACCCGTCCACGTTGTCGTGCCTCTCTGTCTTTCGGTGGATGATGTCAAAGTCGTATCCGTGTAGGCGCACAACCCATCGTCCAATCATACCCGTGTAATTGGTGAGCTTCTTCAGAGCCAATAATGGCTCGTGATCGGTTATAAGGAGGAACTTTTGTCCGTACAAGTACGGACGGAAGTGTTGAATTCCCCAGACTACAACATAGCATTCACCTTGTGGGGCTGAGTCGTTCCTTCGTTCGTCTGGCACCGTACAAGACGCGTACTCGATGACGTGCTCTCGACCGTCACTCCCTTTTTGCGCTAAGATAGCGGAAACAGCCTCCGGCTGCCAGTCCGTGATGAGAATGAAATGCTTCCTAGGGTCCGGCCAATCAATAGGTGTCGTAGCCAGAGCGCCCTTGAGGGTGGCGAAGGCCTATTCGCACTTTGCGTCCCAACTGAGGGGCTGGTCCTTTCGCAGCAGATTCGTCAGAGGTCGCGCAATCGAAACGAAGCCCTTGATAAAACGACGGTAATACGATGCAAGTCCCAGGAAAGCTCGAACCTGCGTCATTGACGTAGGGACAGGAGCGTCTTTCACCACCGCGGCTTTCCTTGAATCTGGCCGCAGTCCTCCACGTGTCACCACGTAAGCTAAGAACGAGATTTCCGAAAGGAAAAACTCGCTCTTCTCAAGCGCGATTTTGAACCCAGCGTCTCTCAGAGCTCCCAGCGTCCACTCGATGTGCTGTGCATGCCCGTGATAGGTCTCCGAGTAGACGAGGATGTCATCCATGTACACGATGACGCAAAAGTTAATCATCCCCTGAGTGAGCCGCATCTTGTTGACGAAGTTCTAAAACGTCACGTTCATCGCCCGCTGAAACGTGGCAAGCGTGTTGCAAATACCCATCGGACATCGGACTCACTGCCACGTGCCCTCAAACAATACAAAGGCCGTCTTCGGTCGATCTTCCTCCTTAACCAGAATGTGATGAAAACCGTGCCGAATATCAAACTTACTGAACATCCAATCGCATCTAGCAAATCATCAATCCGGGGAAGGGGATACACATCTTTATCATGATGTCATTCAACTTGCGATAATCAATGCATATGCGAATCGATCCATTCTTTTTTGGTACCAACACTACCGAAAATGACCATGGCCCAGTGGCAGGTTCGATCCACCCATTAGATTCAAATTCTCGAATCCACTCGAGGGTCGTTTTCCGTTCTACCAACGAATATGTTTAGGGCTTGCAATGAATCGAGGGATGGTTTCCAGTCTGGATTTCATGTTGTATGACCAACGACAGTCCGATGTCAGTGTCTGTCACACTAATTGCTCCCTTGTACTCTTTTAGAATGTCCGCGATCAGGTGGTGGATCTCATTAGGTACGTATCGGGGTACGTGCAGCTCATACAACTCATCCCATATCCGTTCGTTGATGTGTTTGGTACTCACCCGTTCAGCGCTTTCGGGTGGAGGCGTGAAAATAAACGAGCTGTCCGACCACCAGGAGAATATCGTGGTCATCATCTATGCATCTTGTTCTCGAATGGCCACGCGTTCTTCCCAGGTTATCTCGTCTCGAATGACTTGCCACGACACAAGTTTCGTTGCGATCCTGATTCCGAGTCCGGTTTCAACGCGCTCAGGGGGTTTCAAAGAATCAGTCTCCGCCCCTAAGCATAGTACTCTTATCTCTTTTGCAGGCGTCGAAAGAGATCGTGGAAGATTCGTGATGTCGCAATAATGCTTTTTGTCCTCATATCGTGGCAGTAGATGCGAGATTCCTTCATACAGGGTTCGAGGGGGTTCCAAAGAATCGACCATCCTCGAAATTTGTACGAGAGGTTTTCCCATAATCATTGTTTGCGTTCTCTGTAAATCTGGGTTAGTCCGACTCAGGGTTTTTGCGTTTGTTCGCTGAGCGGGAAATGGATACGTTCCTGCGCCATTTCCAGGATTAATGGGTCATCATCATCACTCTTGTCTGCGTCTTTGGATGTCTGCCCATTGTCCCAGATAATCATGCGAAGGGTCTCTGTCATCATGGGAGAAACTCGCGGGGTTACGTTAGCGGTAGTACGAAGGGTCAGCCTCATTGGTACGACATAGGGTTTCCCTCCCGTATTTCGAAGGACAATCGATCRTCTTTCGAAATCCAGATTGGCTCGTAAGGCCACAAGAGCGKGAAGGCCGAAAAGGACRTCGTAMGTGTTTACGTCTAAGACTAYGACATCTCCCAAAGCATGTACCTTCCYTAATCSAAAWGYAACATTGGTCATCCGTCCCACCGTTTTGATCTTCTCCTCATCTGCTGACACGAGGTGATCTTTTTCCGTAAGCATGATTAGATCGTTCTTTCTACCTGCTTTTTCAACTACCCGTAACGAGATAGCCAAAACAGCGGCTCCTGAGTCGATAATGGCATTATACGGGATTCCCCATATCTCAATATCACATTCGGCGGATTTCCATGGGATTGGTTTAATCCGTAGGAAGTGATCATCTTTCTGGATTAATCCTAATCGTATCAGGTCTGAAGTTCCTGCTGCATTTTCATCTGGCGTGGGATTTTTCATTTTTGTGCTCGTTGTCCGGGCAAGGGCGAATCGTTTTCGATTTGCCTTGCAGTGTTGCAACATTCATTCGTTAGCTTGTTCGGATATCGAGAGTAGGTGACCGATCAGAAGAGGAATCCGGTGGTCCAAGGCTCGAACGATGCTTAGAACATTGATCTCCCCCGTGACGAAAGTGGGTCCTCCCGACTCCATTTCTCCTGGAGATGGTCGCCATTCTGCCACTTCTCTTTGTTCTGGCGCGGGTCTAATCATTCCAATCATCCCAAGTCCTGGGTAGCCAAGCGTTACGTACTGATCCAACGGGATTAGTTCAACAACTTCTTCCATTGTAGCCAATGTGCTTCCGCCTCCATCCATTTCTTCCATCAATGCCCCTACTCGTCCGAGTCCGTTGGCGATCGGGGCCGCTGCCACTGGTGCGGCTCCTACTCGTTGTTGTGGGGGTCGCTGGCGACAATCTTGGGCTATATGCCCTGGTTGGTGACACGTGTAGCAGACATTCAGATTGCCAGGGATCCCTGCAGGAGGGGGTGCCGGGGCCAATCCGTGTTGAATCGGGGCGGCACGCACCACTATTGGACGCATCGACCTCATCATTGCTTTTATTCGAGCGTTGTGTTCCCATTGTTCCTTTTCGCTTTCTTGAATCAGAGTAACCAATGTCTTGGTTAGTTCTAATAGGGCGGAATACTCATTTGGTCGTGTTGGGGTTTCGATCGGTGGCGAGGGTGCTGTCATCACGGGAACGGGAACGCTCGTAATCACACTCGGGACCGGTTGTTTGGAACCAATCTGTTCCAGATAGGTGACAAGGCCCGACACAAACCCCATGTCTTCAAATTTGTTCTGCAGGGCAGCTAACTCAGCTTTAGCTCTCGCCAGTTTGGACGAGTCTCTTTCCCTAGGATAGTCTTCTCCCTCTAGCAAACCCACAACGAACTTTCGTTCCATTTCTTTCGCGGCTGCCATGATCTGTTGCAGTGTGTGATTGGGGGAAAACTGCTTTCGCAGTTTCGCCCTCATCGTTCGGCTGCGAAGTCCATCAATGAACAAATCTCTGCCCACTTGTTCGCCTCGTTCTGTTTTCGCAAACATCCTATAGAATCGGTTACTCGGTAACAAATTCGAGGGGTTTTTGAACTCGATCTTTGATCATAAAGAGAGCCTGTTCTAGGTGGATGTAATCGAATCGGTTCAAAAAATCTCGCTCGAATGTCGGGAGATCGACCCATATATAGGTACTAAACCAGTGATGGGCATCTCCTCCCAATCGTGCAGGGATGTTCATTTGTGCCTCGTTATCATCGTACTGTTGAGCCCGGAGCGTGTCTAGCCATGCCCCAGCGAGGTGATGAGCATGATCGAATAGATAAAGATCGGGTGGCGTCATAGGAGCTCGTGCTCGTGGTACGGGTTGACTAAGATTCTGCTGGGGGTTCAGGTTTTGTTGGGGGTTTTGTTGATTAGCATTCATATTGACCGTCCGTCGAGCCTCAGACCGACTTTTGGTGACGACGGGATCGTGTCGGTGCGCGTTCCGGAGTCGAGGTCGCCCCCTGTTAGCCAGATCGCCCAGATATGAGTCCTACAACCCTGCCACGTGGCGGGCTCCGATACCAACCTCACGCCCAGCACGACTTCCTGATCGGAGTGGGATGTGGGCCTGGAAGTGCGAAAAGGGGTGTGCCAAGGACTTTTTGGGAAAGTAGGGGTGGAGTCCCAGGTTGGAACTGAGATCTCCTGTGGCAAAGTTTTAGGGGCATAGATGCAATAGGGCTAAGGGGGTGAGTTACTTCCATAAGGCAGATGGCATGCGCGGTGCATTCAAGGTCGTCCGGTTCGTTTGTTTTGGGGATAGGCCCGCCGGGGATAGTCGCGTTCCCGATGAGTCAGACCTTTGGGCGCAGACACGTGGCGTCTGTCGTCACGCGTTTTGGTTAGGCCCCCTAGTTCAGGGGCTTGTCGTTTGCCGCGTCGCCGACAATTCCCGCAAGGCGTGCGGGGCTAGTACGGGTCGATGGAGTTCCACGGAACCACAGTGAGTTGGTGATACGGGATGAGGAGACGGAAGGGAGGGAAATTAGTAGTGATAACGATGAAACCGGGGGATATGAAGTAGTGCGAGTTATTCGTAGTTGGATAATCGGGGCACCTCGGATCGCTGGTTACGGCACAGTGAAACTCCCTGGGGCACAATCGATTCTCGGTTAAGCAGGCGAATTCCGGATATCTTTGCCTAATGCATTCCCTCACCTAAGGGTCAAAGTACTCCGAGTCCCAGGAGCTCGGCATCTTATCATTGCGGTGTGATAAAATTCTTCCACACGCGTCTAATTGGCAAGGGGATGTTCCGTCGTGATATCGGAATTCCTTTCCGTTTAGGTGCGAGGGGGAAGGACAATCCCCGTCTGCCCGAAGGCATCAAGTTCGTCGATGGTCGCGAATCGGCGAGCGTGGATACGTGTAGGCTGCGCTGATCAGATCGCGCTTACACGCACCCCCGCGAGGTATTCGCTTGTTTTTGGACAAACAACTACCCAATCATTTAATCACTCCATGATCCCGCGCGCAATCATTCCTGCGCATACAAGGTGCTACTGCACATCAGACAACAGTAGATCAAAGAAAACAAACAGCAATAGTGACGACTACGCGGAAGTTCCTACTATGCTCACAAGGGTATCAAAATGGCAAGCGAAGGCACGGACAAATTAAGGAAAAGCAAACAGACATAACATTCATTCATCCATTCATTTGACATAACACGTGATAAACGAGATCGAGACCAATCGAAAAAACGAGTGTGGGCGGAAACCAAGCCAAGATTCTGAAAACAAAAGAGAACGGGCGAATCGCCCTGAGCCGAGATCAAAATTTATATACAAAAGCAAGGAGGGAGACAAGACAAGGAAAATTGCAAACCACTTCCATCTACCTCAGCTCCCTTTTCTTCTTTCTTCCTCTCCGATGCGGACAGTCCATCGTCACGCACCAACCCACGAAGTGGTCACCCCGCTTAGTCCTCCCGCACCTGTCAGGTTCGCCCGTGCCCACAGTCCGTCGTGGCCCGCGTCAACCCCGCGCGTTCGGCACCAGCTCGTCGGGTCGCCCAACTCCCACTTCAACTCACCTCTTACTTTGCTCGCGAGCCGACCCTCACTGATCGCGCTCCCCGAGCTTCCAACAACTGGTTAAGAGAGCTATCTAATCGTGCAGTCGGAATTTATAGCGTGCATGCATGAGCGAAGAACACGGAATTGCAAGGACTTAGAAAGGAGATTAGGAGAGGGAGTGTCTGCGTTCTGCATGGCCAGATTGCGGCGTGGGGGACGTAGCCACTCTCCGCGCATCGATCCAAGCATGCAGGTCGCGGGCTAACTAGGCACAGCAAAAGGGAAAAGGGAGAGCGGGAAAGACGAAGCTCAAGAAGAAATAGGGCCTCGCTCCACACCACTTCACTCCACTTCAATTTCAAGTGCGGCACTTGAGCCGCGTCACACGGTAATCGTTATTAAAAAATACTTGAGCCTGGCGCAATTCGACGTTACACTTCACTCCACACTCGAAACAGGAGCGGGAAAGTGGCAGAGGTGGTTGGCGCGAGGGAAGGGGGGATGTAAGACAAAAGAAAGAAAAAACGGGGGGAACGTGCAGGGCCTACAACCGCCTCCTGGCTCTCACTTGCGCCGTTTTGAAGTGCGCCTCAAGTGTGGCCGGAGAGGTGACTTGAAAATTTCACCGCCTGGCCACACTTGAGCTGCACTTGACTTTTTGGCGGGCGTCGGGAGAGGCGGGAACCCTAATCACGATTAGGGAAAGTGAAAGTCAAGTGCAGTGCAGTGTGGAACGAAGAAGTTCTCAAGTATTTCTAAAGTGGAGTGGTGTGGAACGAGGCCCATATACAGTTACAATGGCACCCGCCCAAAATTACAGTTACTTGCAAGATTAAGGGCGCCAACTAATCAGAGCTCCGCTGCAGCCGCAAAAAGAAGCGCGCAAGAAGGACGGCGCGCGACAAAAGAAATCCCGAATTCCTAAATTCCTAAATTCCTAGCAAATGCAGAAAGAAGCACAAATTCCGAAAAGAAAATCCGAAGTTCCAAGAGCCGTCAATGGCTCGACAAGATTCGAAAAAGAAATTCAAAAAGAACGAAACAAAATTCCCGCGCGACCTCCGCGCCTAAATCCGACAACAGCACAGAAAAGAAGCGACGTCAACCATTATTAATCGCGCCTGGTCGGCGCGACAGCCACTCAATCGATCATCCCGGGGCTTGCCCGGGCCTGAATCCAGTCATCCGAAAAGAAGTGGCGAAAGAGAAAAGACGAAAAAGCGAGGACACTGATGCAATTCTCCCTCAATCCCGATCTCCCGTAGTTGGCCCAACCTTCCCAACTTAGGACCCCTCATTGTTATTGCGCAGAAAGTCGCGCGGAACAGAAATCGGTTCGTCACAGGACGCTGAGCCCGGTTCTCCGCAATTTCGGTTCGGTTACTCCGTGTAGACTGTGAGGACCCGGGCCTCAATCTCTTTATTGGTAATATCAGCCTTGGGCACTTGGCCCGTTTAAAAAAAAAAA